AAGTAAGTAAGTAAGTAAGCTTAAAATCCAGCACTAGTCTGACACTTTGTTCTATTATGGTCCCTTGTATGTTGCTGTGATGCTGAAAGCTATGTCATTGATATTTTAAATACCAGCAGGGTCACCCAAAGTGAACCGGTTTCATTAGAGCTTCCAAACTAAAAATAGACTACAAAGAAGGGAGAGCCTCTCAATTTCAGAGGGATTAGCCTCTAAGAATTCTATGGGTAGCAAGGTAACAGTCAGTTACTGAAAACCTAATGAGTAGAAGCAGAACAATGTCAGAGATAAAGTCAGAAGATGGGCCCCTGAAGTCTAAAGACCCGCAAAATACACCTGAGGTAGAGCTGCCTTGCAACGTGGAGTTGACCATAGTGACCTGGATACAATAAGTCTAAGGGAGTAAAGCACTGGAAACTTTATTTTGCTTAAGAGCAAGACTCAACATGAGAAGAAACAGCTGGAAACATCAACTAATAATTAGAACATGGAATGAATGAATTGTGAACCTGTGAAAATTGGAAGTCTTCAAAAATAAAATGGAATGCATAAAGATCCATAACCTAGTGAATTATAGATAATCCATAAATTAAAAACCAGCTATTAGTGAGATGAATTGGACAGGTGTTGGCCATTCAGAATCAGAATTTCATACGGTTCACTATGCTGGGAGTGACACAATCGAGAGGAATGGTGTGCTTTCATTTTCAAAAAGAACATTTCAAGATCTTGGTAATGTCTATTTTCATACAAGAAAAGTCAATCAACACAAATATTACTATTCAAATTTATGTATCAATCACTAAAGCTAGTGATACAGATATTGAAGAATTCTACAATTGTGTTGAGTCTTAAATTGATCAAATATGTAATCAAGATGAATAATTGGCATTTGGAATACAAAAGTTGGAAACAAAGAGGAAGGAGAAAAATATGACCTTCATGCTAAAAATGAAGCCAAGATTCCATGATTGAATTTTTCAAGACCAATGATTTCTTCATCACAAACACCCTTTTCAGCAACACAAAAGTTAACTACACACGTGGACTTCTTCAGATAAAATACAAATAAATCAAATTAACTACATCTGAGGGAACAGACCATGGAGAAGCTCAGTAACAGAAGCTCAATATCAGGCCAGGGGTTGCCTGTGGAAAGATTACCAATTGCTCATGTGCAAGTTATGGCTGAAATTGTAGATAATAAAATAAGTCCGTGAGAGTCAAAATATGACCTTGAGTATGTCATACCTGAATTTTAAGAACATCTCAAGAACAGATTAGAGGCATTAAATAGTAATAACAGAAGACCTCGGGAGCAATGGGATTAGAACAAAAACATTAATACATGAAGAAAGGAAAAGGTCATTAAAAATACAGGGCACCAGCCTGTGTGACCACGAGCTGTCAAAGGAATCAGGTATCAAGTATCAAAGAACAAAAAATCATGATTGTAAATGTGGGTGAGTGCAGAGTGGAGATTCAAAGCCCATCAGTAGGCAACTGGACACCCCCTTACTGAAGGGTTGTGGGGAGGAGGTGAGCCAGTCAGGGTGCAGTGTAGCAATGATGAAACATATAACTTTCCTCTAGTTCTTAAATGCTTCCTCCCCCCCACTATCATGATCCCAATTCTACCTTACAAATCTGGCTAGAGCAGAGGATATGCATTGGTACAGACAGCAACTGGAAACACAGGGAATCCAGGACAGATAACTTCTTCAGGACCAGTGGTGAGAGTGGCGATGCCTGGAGGGTGGAGGGAATGTGGGGTAGAAAGGGGGAACCGATTATAAGAACTACATATAGCCTCCTCCCTGTGGGATGGACAGCAGAGAAGAGGGCGGGGGAGACATCGGACAATGTAACATACGACAAAACAATAATAATTTATGAATTATGAAGGGTTCATGAAGGATGGGGGAGTGGGAAGGGAGGGGGAAAATGAGCAGCCGATATTAAGGGCTAAAGTAGAAGGCAAATGTTTTGAGAATGATGATGGCAACAAATGTATATATGTGCTTGACACAATGGATGGATGTATGGATTGTGATAAGAATTGTATGAGCCCCCAATAAAATGATTTTTAAAAAATACAGAGCGGGGGAGGAGGGAGGAAAGTTCTAAGTGGATGTCAGAAGAGAATCTGAACCGTGCTCTTGTTTGAAGAGCAGCTGCTGCAAATGGAAGAAGTGATACAGTAAAAGACCTGAACAGAAAATCTCAAAGCGCAGCTTGAGTAGAGAAAATGTCAAATATTATAAAGAAATGTGCAGAGACCTAGAGTTGGAAAACCAAAAAGGGCACACATGCTCAGGATATCTGAGACTGAGAAAAGTTCCACTTGAATTACAATATTGAAAAATTCTATGGGAAAAATATTCAATAATGAAGGAAGCATCAATAAACGATGGAAAGAATATGTAGAGTCCTTGTACCAAAAAGAACTGGTCAGCATGCACCATTTTGAGAGGTCGCGTATGAGCAAGGACCAGTGGTGCTGAAGGAGAGATCTGTCCCTGGAAGAAGACAGCCCGCGTGGTGAAGTTGAGAAAGTGGAAGGCCCTTGACACGAAGGCATGCCACAGTGGCTCAAGTAATGGTTTCAGGCATAAACACAATTGTGAGAACGGCACAGGACCAGGTCATGTTTTGTCCTGTTTTGCATAGGGGCGCTATGAACAGGAATTGACCGGATTGCACCTAACAACAACAGTAACCCCGATGGCATTGTATTGGGAATTTTCATGGTTTCTAAAGAACAATGCGGCCCTGTTGGCTGGGTGTGGGGCTGCCAACCACAAAGCCAGTGGTCCCAAACTACTAGCTTCCCTAGGGAGAGGGATGAAGCCATGTGCTCCCTATAAAGATGTTCAGCCTCAGAAAGTCTGTATAGAGACTCTCTGTGTCAGAATCAACTCGATGGCAGTCAACTTTTGATTTTTTATTATTTTATAAAACTAGTTACCTACTTGTGACTACCGGTAATCCTTAACTATAATATTTTATCTGATTTCAAAGTTATTTCCTTTGAGATCTACGCATAATTGCTTATGACGTGAACCATCAGATCTTCAGGGGACTTCCCGTATTTGCCAATGCAACTAAAATTAGTTTCCTATCTATTTTTAATGCACATTAGATCAAAATTTAATATATATGTTTTCTCCATTCCAAAGAAAAAGTTATACTGTAATAGGTACAAGAACTTGAAATTTAAAACATCTAATGTGTATGATATGATCTCTTTCTCGTGGGCTATTATTAGGTCCTTTTCATTTCATCAAAAGTAAACCAAACACATATCTCATCCAACAGCTCTCAACTATCAATGAACAACAAACCTCTTTGCTAAATTGCAAGAGAAAATGCAAAAACATCAACATATACTAGCATACTCTAATACCATGTATATGGAATAATAAAGTCAATTTAGTTCAACATATCAAATATAAACTTGCTATTAGTCTATTGAGTTTGATAATTAATTTTCAATAAAAAGTAAACTTAAACTTCATATAGAATAATCTGATATGGTGATAGTCATAATCTATATACAACACATAAAGTCACACCAAACTAATAAATATAAAGGAGAAATATTAATATTTTTCTGCTTAAGTAGCATATCTAATCACATTGCCATTTGGTCTGTAAAAGACAACACACACGTACATACAATTTGTAAGGATCTTATCATTAACACATATTCACCTTTTCTTACAGTATTAAAATTATTATAAAACTTTCTCTTCTAGGATAAATGCAAACTTGGATAATACACAAGAATATGTTATCATAGCTTAAAATGTCCTTCACCTCAATAATATTGGTATTAATGTTAAATTTAAATATTTCTTCCAGTTTTCTACTCAAAAATAAAGCATCTTAGAAGAAATCGGGATTTCTAGGAACAGAGGAAAGCTCACCTTATTACAAAATTGTGACTGTCAATCTCCTTTCCACATTCGCTATCTAGAAGAATACCAGAATTTCCAACAACTGCACAGGTCTTAAATCTGCGATTTTTCATTGGTGAAACTTCAGGTAGGAGGCTATGCAGATCATGGGAAATATTTAGTGTCCGACGCCTGTCGAGCACATAGTGTATGACATCACCAGGCTTAAAACTGCTCTTGACCACGGAGACATCTCTTTCGGCATCTAGGAAACGAAGTATGTTCTTCCTGCATGTGGAAAACGAGCACATTAATGCCAACATGCCCTAGAAGTGGTGATGGCATTTATAAAGGAAGACATGATGAAATATAAATAGGTAAACCACAAGTTTTAAACTATAATTACCTGATATTTTAACCAGGAATTTAGTAGACATCATGGGGAATGCCATGCATTTTTAGAATCATTTACACAGGGTTTGTTAATGATTTTATAAGCAGATATAGAATAAATACCTATTTTTAAAGCACGAAAGAACACATCATCTAGCACATATAGGGTGAAATCAGTTTAATATATTAAATGCAGTTGCTAAAAGTTGCCTTTATATGAGCAAATATTCTGCAAGCTTTAATGACACCAGTTTGTTTATTTTTCAGCCATCTGCTTATTTTAATGCCACGTCATTAAGATAACTTGTAGTTGGTTAGCTTAAGTCGTGTCAGCTCCTCGACCATCGAGTTGACTCTGATTCACAGCAACCCTAAACAACAGAGGAGAACTGACCCATAGGGCTTCTGGCGCTGGAAATATTTAAGGAGACGGATTATTTCATCGCACATTCACAACGTAGCTGGTGGGTTTACTTAACCCACTGTAACACCAGGGTTTGTTCATCTCCATTAAGAGGATTAAAATTGCTAATAAACCCACCTAAAGCAATCTGTATATTATATATATATACACTATGGATATGTGAAGCATAAAAAGTACAGCCCCCTAAGTGCATATGAAAAGTATCCTTCAAGCTTAACAAACAAGGAGATTTGAAGAAAAGATTTACTACACTAAGTATGGCAGAGAGGGGTAATTATTCCTTCTGTCTTTTCTTCTCTTGTCTTTAGAATTTGAGTGTTCTTAGTTTTATTTTGGCACTTGGCTTCTCATCGAGGACCTTTACATTTCTCTCTGGCTGTTTGATCCTTTCCGTTTGTTTTCTTCAATGGCAATGTAAGTGGATCGGGACGGTGTGGAAGAGAAATACATTTGCTTGAGACACTCTATTTTAAGTACTCTTGTTTTGCGTATCTCATATCTTATAAAACTTGATAACAGATGTGAAATGCTACACAAACAACGAAAAGCAAAAATATGTCATCTACTAAATTGTTACACGATGGAAAATGAGAGAAGAGACATAGGTGGCATGAAAGCTAATGCCCTTTAACATAATAATAATATTATATTATATTACAGGAAGACACCTGAAAAAGTTGTTGAATGCAACATTTTAGGACCTGTCCCCTGTAGCGAATAAACGAGTTCCCTTTGGAGAAGTGGTTGCAAAGTGTTTGTATGCTGGGTTATAGTGGTTGCTGTTTTAGCAAGGCATTAAAAGAGATGAAGTCAGGCATGTAATAGCCAAGTTTCCAGCAGAGATGGAAGGGAATACATCTCTGGAAATGACCTGCAATCTAAACTGTGTGAGAATCTAGCAATTTGGACATTCCAGATGTACCCCAATTAGCAAGAGATATATCTGTCAAATGTAATATTTTAGCATCAAATAGGAAGTTGCTTTACCATCCAAATGTATAGTTGGAAATGACTTATGGATGTCCTGGAATAATTAGAGGAATTAGAAGACTTAAGAAGTGTGTTCAGAAGGAATAGTTGAATAGGATGAAGTGCAACTATCGAAAAGATAATGGCCAAGAAGCCTAATACGTTTGTTTGATTGTTTGTCTATTTTGCAGAGCAACCACAGACTATTAAATATAATAAAGGAAGCACACACGTTGGAAGACGGAAAAGATGACTTGGAGTTATTAAAAATAAAACCCATATGCATATCAAAAACTTCATTAAAAGATTTCATGGAGGAAAATTGGGGGGAAATATTTAGTAGTGACATAACAGATAAGGGACTAATTACTAAAATCTATAGAATTTTGCAACACCTCAAAAAGGAAAACAACAACAACAGATAATCTAACAGTTGAGCAAAGGACTTGAATAGACAATTCACAAAGGATGATACTCACGTGAATGACTAATAGACATGAGGAAATGCTCATCATCACTAGCCATCTGGGAGATGCAAATTAAAACAGCAGACCACACCCCCGCCTCTCTCAGACACACACAAGAAAACCCACCCTCAGTGCCACTGGGTTGATGTCCGCTCATAGCCACCCTGAAGCATAGGACAGAACTGCCCCTGTGAGTTTCTGAGACAAAAACTGTTTATGGAAATGAAATACCCACTCTTTCTCCCAGGGAGCAGTTGGTGGACCTTGCCAATTCCAGTCCAATGCATAAGCACTATGCCATAGGGGATTGTTTGGGGAAAACAACAAAACAAAAACAGAGACCAACAAATGCTTGAGAGGGTGTGAAGACATTGGAAATCTTGTACACTGTTTGTGAGCTTGTGAATATGTACAACCATGTGGAAAGTGATATGGCACCACCTAAAACAACTGGGAATAGAAATACTACATGACCCAGCAAGACATCCACGGGGCACACACCCAAAATAAATAAGAGACGGCAGAACACACATATTCCGTGCTCATTGCAACACAGTTCACATATGGCAAGAAGCTATGACCAGTCAAAATGCCCATCAGTAGAAGAATGAATAAAAACACTGGTACATACACACAATGGAATACTATGCATCCTTAAAAAAAACTGATGAAACCATGAAGCATCTCATGACATGAATAGGCCTGGAAACCGTTTTGCTGATGAAGTTAGTCAATCACAAAAGACAAATACTGTATGAGTGCACTAAAGTTAAACGTCAAGCCAAAGGCAGGTTTCTGTTATCAGAGGATGTAATCATCTAAACTGTTCTCCCAAACAATGAGGTAGAGGGCCTACCTCGCATCCTTGAGCCATAGATCATCCCTATATACGTACATCTTAAAAACCATTTAAACATAGGAGACCTCATCTCAGCTGAGGTCAGATTTTAGTATGGGAGGAGACAACACTGTGCTAAGGTCACACCAAACCGACAGACATCAGAGTGATGAGGCAGGATGCAGAGAGAGGGGCATGTATGTCTTGGGAGACAATTACATTTCAGTTGGTGAGTAAACTGGGAGAAGCAACCTCCCATTGGGGGTCGTAGGAGGGGAAACATCTAATGAGTTTTTGAGAGAATTATATTGCTAATGAAACCATGAACCTGGCTCATAAAATCTGGAATTGTTTTACACAAATATATACAAGCATGTAGTCATAAGAAGTCATCTCAGACATTCTAATCTAAATTGAAAGGTGGATGTTTAAGTGTCCTTATTGTAAACATAATTTAGAAGCACTAAAAAGGTGTCATTATTAGAACACTAGTGATTTTTGCCTCGAGGTAAAACCTCCCCCTCCCCCCACCCCAGTGATTTTCCCCTGACTGCCATCAAATCTATTCTGACTCATAACAACTCAAAATAGCTTTAGAGGTAGTGAACCTTTACCAGAGCAGGCAGCTGCCCCTTGCAGTAAACACCTACAGAGCCATCAGGGACTCAAAAAGTATCAGTATTATAATATTTGCGATAGAATATTATATTTTACCCACCACAATCTTGTGCTATATGACTGGCCACTCCACTAGAAGAATAATTCTTCAATTTACATTTATAGGCCAGCACCACTACTATCAAATAAGTCTATAAGATAATTAATTCCTGTCTCTCTGTTTTATTGTTTGGCTTTGCTTGCTTGTTATTCCTCTACAGGTAACAGTTCAGTGTGTGATCTAATTAGAAAGGTAAGCTGTAAACCTGATTTTGCCACATTGTATACACAACACACATGCTCGAGAGCTCTCTGATAAAATAATACCCTTACTGCTTTTTGCCTCAATTATTGAAAATATTAAGTTGAGGAGAAATGGAATTTACATTAGAGAAAATCTGTACAAAGAACTAGCAAAGAAAATCACAAAAGCAGATAGAAATACTATCAGGGAGCATGGTAGTGAATGGTAACATAAGACAGACAATATAAGAAGATAATTATCTATGAAATCAGAAACAGAGGATATCTATAGTGCAGAAATTTGATAAATCTTTCATTTTATCAAACATTTAATGGTTTTCTCATGTGAACAGCTAACACTAAGAGTAATGATATACAGAATCTTTTCAAATAGTTAACTACTATTTTCTGTGGGGCTGGCGGGTGAAAACTAAGTAATGTCTGACACCTGCATTTAAACCAAAATTTTGATTTCCTGGGACAATGATGGGTCTGGGTCTGAAATAAAGACTTCACAAATGTGGTCATCTCCCTAAATTTGCTGGTGTTATTTCCTATGAACATAATTTAGGTGTGTTTGAAGATGTGCATTTTCAAGTAGTGGCATGGTACAAACTTGAAATGCATAGATTAGGGGTCCTGGTTTGGAAAAAGACTTAAATTTTTTTTTTTATTAGCACATTATCCATATAACATACAATTCAATAATTCAAACATCTCAAGAATAGTTGTACAATCATTACCACAATCAATTTTAGAACATTTTCTTCTCTTTGGCTTGAAAATTCAAAAAGGGAAAATCCCTTGTATGAGTCAGAAAGTTGTCATAAATACTTGTCAACTGATAATAGATGGGGATTTCCAATAACAGTATCTTTGCTGTTTTAGAGAAAATTAGCAGCATAATATATTAAAGAATGTCTTAAATTCCCAAGTATTAGAATTTAGGGAAAATCAATAATAAAAAGGGATCTATAAGCATTTATAAGAGTGTTAAAAGATGTCATATCATCTAAAAGGTAAAAAATAATGATTAATAGGACTATTAAGTGCAGATGATATCAGTCTAGATGGTCTTCCAGTGATGTGACAGAGGCTCAGCAGTGTTCAGTAAGGGATAATACCGTAAAGTGTACTAGGTAAAACACAGTAAATTTCCTTTGCAAAAAAGAAGAAAAATTAGAAAGTTACGTAGACTAATCAAAATATAAATATGTAAAAAGTTATTAGGTGAAACAGAACAACTGCGTATAGATTTTCCCTTTTGAAACTGATAAAGAAGAAACCTTGCCTGACT